TTTGAGACATTAGCCAATACTCAGTCACTCACTACACTGGTTTTCTTAGGGTTGTTGCAGCACCTGTTTAGTCATCTAGTTCACATACAACCCTAATATGCAGAAGTATAAACAGGCCTTTTAATCCTACCTAAATTCTTGTAGAAGATGTATAGTTGCATTTTAATGTTAATACTAAGCAAGAAGCACCAAAGTCTGTTTTAAACCCCTTCCCCGCTCCCTCCACAACACCTCACCCATGCCAGGTTAGATAAATATGTATAAATGTGGCTTTGCACATCCTGCATCCCCTAGATACAAACAGCCAGATAGAGAACTTTCCTAAGAAGCAACTCTGGCACACTGGCTTCCTCACCCTGTGGTGACTACATGTTTGAGGGTCCCAGTGAGGAAGTATGCTTGTCTTGCATGTTCTGTGAAGTCACGGATTCAGGTCCTTGCCCCAAATGCTACTTATGCATTTTCTCCAACAATTTCTGAAAAAACAGAACCCAGGCCTCTGTCCTTTCAGGGACAGCTGTTATCGTGGAGTTGGAGGCATTCTTGCCTATCTAGTAGCCTAGCTTCCAACAGGACTTGAAGTGCTTAAAGCACTCCACTAGTAAAAACCAGGTTAGCTGTTTTTTCATTAGTCCACAGATGCCATTTTAAACTAAAACATAGCTTTCCATTTGCTCCCTACAAATGAAGGGAACACAGCTTTCAACATAGGGAAGTTCAGCTGGTAAATAAGCACCTGGTTATGTAACTGTCAGACTACAAGCTGCCTTATCTACAGAGGTGAGCTTCACCATTGTTGCATACCACCCTGACCCACTCAGCTATTCAGGAACTGGAAGCTTTTCTGGATTGGATGAATTCTTTTGGCCTTACAAGGGTTTGAAGAATCTCTTTCGTTTCACCTTGTCAATAGCAGGGTATATTTTCTGCTATCAGCATTCAAGTTTCTCCATCTGGTGCAGTCAGTCAGAAAAACCAGGAGACCCATGTTGGGGAAAAGCTATATTTGAGGCCAGCATTTGGGGTTGTCATTTCCGTATTGCTGGCTTTTGGTGATTCACCAGGTCCAAGACCTTGTGTTTTGGAGGCTGGGAGTCCTGTACACTTCAGCAAGGTTTTGGAGTTCTTGTCATCCATGAGTCTTCCTGGTCAAATAAGGATCAATGGTCTCTCCTGTCACTCAGGAGCTGGAGGATCTCCAATCAATGTCTTAATTAGACTGTCTGCCGGAGCATCGGTTGGGTTGTGCCGTCTTCAGTCTTGATATACAGTTTAAGGCAGATATGGACAATTATTTGGGTCCAAGACCCACACAGGAAGTTTTGATGAGCTGTCCTGGGTCGGGCTGATGAGCAGATTCTTTAGGGACATAGTGAAAGGACTTTGTCCTCCTCTCCTCCCCCAAGAACTCACTAAAACTCTTTCTAGGGCTGTCTGCAGGCAGAGAGCAGTGTTCAGTTGTGGGAGAGGCTGGAATGACATGTCCCTGCCCTCTGGGTGGGGAGGGGAGGGTGTGCGCGCGTGTGTGTGTACGTGCGCACACACGCATGGAGAGGGGGCTGCCTGGACACTAGGTCCCACGAGTCTGCTGTGGGTGAAGTGGGGCTCATACAGCAGAGCTTGCCCAGGCAGTGCGCTCCGCACTTCCCCCACAGTGCTCTGCGTGGGGCTGAGCTCCGCTCACTCACACTGGGGCAGCCTGCACCACACTCCCACCAGTGCCCATGGCCCAGCCAAGTGCTGCTCTGTGCCCCCTGCCTCCAGTGGCAACTCCTGCTCCTGGTCTTGCCCCTGCAGCACTGTGCCAAGTCATGCTGCTCCAGGCAAGCAGCTTCAGCCAGGATCCTGCCCCTTCAGCCAGCCTCCTGCAAGGTGGCTGGGAGCTGAAGCCTGAGCCCTGGCACTGGGGCAGCAGCCCAGCTGAAGCTGCTTACCTACCTGCCCAGAACAGCACGATGTGGTGCAGCACAGAAGGGGCAGGAGAAACTTCTGACCAGCTGTTTCTGGTGCAACTCTGTGCCACCCACCTCCAACAGAAGCTCTTTCTCCTGCTCCTGCCACACCACTCCTGGCAGGCATGTGGGGCTCCAGCTCCAGATCCCAGATGCCTTCCACCAGAAGGCAGCCAGGAGCTGAAGCCGGAGTCCCACATGCCGGGGTAGGAGCTGCCTGGCTGAAACTGCTTGTCCAGAGTGGCAATGAACAGTGCATCACTGGGGCAAGATCAAAACCAGAAGCTGCCACTGAAGGCAGGGAGTGCAGAACAGTACCCAGCTACACCAAAAACAGCCCCTCCCAGCCTGCGTGCAGCTTCTGGACTCGGCCCAATGGGAGCCTAGTGCAATTGGGCAGAGAATGGCCCCATGCAGAGTGACTGGATGCCGTGGGCTGGATCCAGTCACCTGGTGGGCCAGATCTGGCCTGCAGGCTGTATTTTGCCCACCCCTGGGCTAAGGGACCAGGTTTAGATTCTGACCAGCTACTTGAATTGAACCAGAAATAGTCTGTCTCAGTGAACAACTGAGCTTTTGGATTTTCACAGACTTGTTGATGACCACATTAAAGTCTCTCAGGACGAAACCTTAACTACAACACTGATGGCACTAACCTGTAAAGGAGCATGCAGTCTGTTAGTTCTGAATCATTTCTACTCTCATATGAATACAGCCTGAATTTTCTTGCTCAAGGCACCTCCCTTGCATTGAGTGTTTGATGAAAAGATGAAGGCGCTGCTATTTGGCTTCTTATCCTACCTTGCCCTGCAATGAAGTAGTTATCCTGGAGGAACAAGTTGAGCTAGCAGAGAGTTCCCAGTTTCATCCAACAAGGTCTGACAATGCAGACTATGTCAGATGCTTCATCACTGGTGTGGTCAAAGACTGTCTGCTGGCCGACGTTGCTTTGTCTCATAAGGATAAGTCATGTCACTTTGTGCTGCCTGCTTCTAGCCGGCATGTAGGCAATAGAATCCAATTTCCTTTGTATACTTTACATTTCCTTTCCTCCTGACTTGAACGCTGAGTTAATTGTGTGAGTGAAGGAACAGATGTCCAAATCTACAGAGACCAGGAGAAAGACAGTTAAATTGGATCTGGTCTGGAGTATGTCGAGGTCTGGGACCAGGTAGACTTGCAAGCCTAGTGGCATAGAAGCAACGGAAACAGAACAAACACTGAACAAGCACCAGCAACAACAGGTAGAATGAAGCAAGGGCCAATGGCATCAGGCATCCGTTTACCTGAAATAATGTTGCTATGACACCCACGTTGCTCTTATCTGGCTCGGGAGAAAGACGAAGGGAAGCAGCACTTACTTGTCACATCTGAGTTAGAGCCAGAAAGTAGCTTCTGAGCCAGCAACTAGTGGCAACGCTGAAAGAAAAGAACTGAGACTGATACCTCTGTTCTTATAGGTTTCTTTGGTTGCTTCATTCCTAGAAAGGATGAAACTGAGCCAAAGAAAGGGAGGAGTCACAGCCCCACCCTCACCTGTCGCAAAACCTCACTTCTTAATGTGCAGAGATGAAAGCGACTAGGAGCTGCTCCCAGACCAATTCCTGGGACGGTGCCCACAGGTATAACCAGATATGGGGCATGGGCCTTCAGTTAGCACACACAGAAAAGAAGCTCTTCAGCTCATCATTGAAAACCATGCATCCTTAGTAATAAACTAAATCAGACAGTCAAAATGGATGTGCCAAAAGTTCACTACTGCAACACTACCACATGCCATATGACTACATTCAAACAGTTTTTGTAAGATGTGCTCAGCACGCTTTCAAGCAAACACTTTTAAAGTGAAGAAATCTAGCCTTACTACAGAAGTTTCTCCCCCTAGAGCTCTTACTCTGTCACACACAAGTTTTACGTAGGGAACTCAAACAACTAAATTAATCCAAGGTGCTAAAAGGAATGTTCATGTAATGCCTTAAAAACATGAGTGTCATTCTCTTATGGCTGACAATGAGTTTTCTTATTGTACCTCTTTGCTTGGTTCTCAAAGCCAGACTGTGGTATTTAGACATAAGCCACTGGGATACACACCAGCTGGCACCAGCCTCTAGTAGGACACTGCTAACTGGGTTTCATCAGAAACACAGGCTAGCACAGTCATATGCCCCCACCCTTGCACCCCATCCTACAACAGCTCCTGGAAGAAATGGTATTTGACAGTTATACAACTTCTCTGCCACCTGGGACTCCCCAGGCTGGAGGGATCCCTCAGCTAGGTGGATCCAGCTACTTTTAGACACTGGGCTGCAATACAGGAAGAAACCCAGTGTCTATAGGAAACTATAATGACATCAGCCAGGTTCTGTGAGCAGAACCAAAAACAGATGCACTTTACAATTAGGGAAAGCTTTCTGGACTAGAAGACAACACACCGTTGAAAGAGTGTCACAACTGGATTAGAGGATGAAAGCCAAACACATGGAGCAAGACAGGAGAGAATATTTGGATTATCAAAACCAAGGAAAACCACAGAAGTACCACAAGATCTAACACCCAGCCAGAGCGAACAGAAGCTACCTCTAAGAACAAATAAGAGTGCAAATGACATACTGTACAGAAAAAAAACAAAACAAAACAAGTGTGTGTATGTGTGGGGGGAAAGCACTGGAGGCAGGTGTACAAGTCTGCCTTCCTAGCAATTCATAGTTCAGAACAGACACCACCAAGTGCTGCTTTCCAAACTTTGCTTACCCTATACTGTGCAGCATATAAAAAAGACAAATCAATATTTTTAGCAAAGCAAGCTTCAGAATCGAAGGTACAATGTATTGGTTAGAATACAAATGCACACCTTGAGACCAAAGGATGAGAAAGAGAAGAACATGCTTCTTAAATAGCTGCATCTCTTCTCATCAGACCTTCTAGGTAAGAAGCACCATAACTGCAGAACACGCTTAATATCTTTTCTCTTGCCTTTGCAGAGGAGGAGCCGACAGGAGTGTCATTTCCACCATTCAGCATTGGCGCTTGAGGCACACCAGTCAGGTTTTCTAAGCACCATACATTTTTTTTTTTTTAACCTATCCTCATAACTCACTCCTTTTAATCCTGGGATTACCTCTGCTGCCCTTCTCTGTACCTTTTCCAGTGCCATAAATAAGGCAGGTCCATGCACAGAAGAAGAAATGAAGTTAGAGCTTTCGTGGTGGACCAAGGCAGCTTTTTGTAGCCAGAGCAGTTAAATAAAACAACAACAAAGAATTAAAACATCCAGCCCCTGTAGGAAGCAGCGATATTTCCAACCCATTCTCCACGTGCAACTGGAGGAAAGAGGGAGAGACGTACTCAAACTTTGCCTTCCATCCCACCCCTCTCCTTCAAGGAGGCAAAGCAGGGGAAGTGAGAAGCCTGCATAGAGCTGCTCTGTAAGCCTGGACCCACGCTGCTCTGACATGCCAGCGCCATATGCTCCCGGTTCAACAAATCCAAACATTTCTTCCCTTTTTTTTCTTCTTTCCCCTCCACGCGCAGAGAGCACCGCTTCAGAGCCGCCTGCTGAATCAGCACTTGCCACCCCGCTCTAAATAGACTTCTGCCCAGCTTCAAAAGAAAAGCGTTGGGAAGCTGGGATGGGTCGGATCCTGCCTCGGGCAGCCTGACCTCGCCGGGTCCCTCCAGCCCCGCTTCTCCAAGGCTCGAGGGGGGGAAGAAAAAATTAAAGAGGGGGGTGGCAAGGTAAGACAGACGAGCCCTCCCCGCCCAAGCCCTGGGCTGCAGCCCGTTGTCGATGGCAAGCGGAGAGGCCGGGACAGCAGCGCCGAGGGGCAGAAGACGGCGGCGGGCCACTCTGCCCCCGCGGCGGGGGCGGGGGAAGCGCCGGGACAGGGCAGGGCAGAGCTGGAGCTCGGGACGGCCGCGTCCCGGCGTAGGGGCTGGGGGCCCCGCCAAGTTTGCAGCGGGGACGAGGAAGTTGGCGCCGCCGCGGCTCAGCCTTACCTGCGCGCCTGGCCCGCCTGGCCGCTCCCCCGCTGCCTCCGCGGCGGGAAGTTGGAGCCCGGGCGGGCGCGGAGCAGCCCGAGGGAAACTTGTGCGGCCGCTACTCCCGCCCCGCGGCTCCCGCTGCGCACACGAGGCGACGCCGCCGAGCCTGGCCTCTCCCCGCCTCAGCTGACTCCCCGGCTTAGGGTGCATCCCT